TAAGACATAGATTCTATTATTCGATTATGCATCTCTATCCCAGAGTGGTCCGGCTTACTCTAAAGGAACAGTTTTGCAAGTTAGGAGATTCTCCCACATCCATCACTGCCACTAAGACCCAGGTGTGACCTCGATTACTCAGTGTATTTTTTTAAATCAAGTTTCACTTGATTTACCAACTGTGACCTTATCTGGATAGAGACAGCCTTTCAATAGTTATTAATGGTCTGGTAATTTTCCAGTTGGATTGTTGCAATGTGTTGTTATGTGAGGTTATCTTTGAAAACAGCCCAGAACATTCAGTTAGTTCAAAACAAAGAGTAGCTAGACTGTTCACTGAGATTGATACGATATGAACATTTCACCATCTATACTGGCTGTCAGTTGATTTCCAAACTCAGTTCAAAGTGTTAGCTTTGATCTTTAAATCCCCAATTGGCTGAGGACCAAGTTACTTGAAGAAATACCTCTTCCTATATGTATGTACCTACCTGGATTTGTGTTAGTTTTGACCTTTAAAACCCTATACCAGAGATGGGCAATTAATTTTGCAAAAGTGCCAGATGAGAAACCGGACTGTTGAGGAGAGACGAACCAATAGGGCTATGAAGCTGCGTAGGAATGCACATACGCACATACGTAAATGTAAAAACAAAAAAGATAGCAAATGCCTTCAAAATAAAAGCAATCCGTGTGGGCCAAACAGGGATAGCCAAAGGGCTAGATATGGCCCAAGGCCCATAAAATGCCCAGATCTGCCCTAAACAATTTAGGATTAGACTACCCGAAGGAACATCTTTCCTCAAACTGTATGTACCTACCTGGACCTTAAGCTTGTCTAACAAGGCCTTCCTCCAGATCCTCTCACTAAAGGAGGTGAGATGGACCTCTACAAAGGTGAGACCTTTGTGTGTGGTGGTAGCACTTCATTTGTGAAATTCCTTCCTCAGAGTGGCTTGTCATTCACATTAGCATCATCGTGTTGCCAGGTCAAGATGTCATGGCTTCTTAACTAATTTTTATTTGTATTTTAATTGATACCATGTTTCCCCCAAAATAAGACCCAGTCTTATTTTCTTTTGGGCTTGAAAATAAGCACTCCGGCTAATTTTCGAGGTCTTATTTTGGGGGAAACACGGTATTATTTTAGCTTTTGAATGACTGACTTTCAGCTGCCTAGTTTTCAAGTTTTTATCTTGCGCTTTATTGTACAGGTTTGTATTCAAAAATTGCATCTTTTAATGTATTTATTATAAACCACCCAGAAAGCTTTGGGTATTGGGCAATTAGAACAATTTCCTCCATAAAATCAATAAACCCAACCTTAGGAGAAAAATATTCTATACTCCTTTGCATTTTCCCTCCCTCTCATCATTATTTACAATTTTGTATTTTTTTTGTTATGGACTGTGTTTATTAATTTGTTTTGTCATAAGCCACCTGGAAGACCTGGGAGTCAAAGTGAAACAGACATATTTTCAAATAAATGCAGAACAGAAATACAGCGCCTAATTCTGGATAAAATTGAGTCCCAAAACTTTTCAACCTTTCTAGAGTGTCCACATGCAAATAATTAGAATAATTAAATAAAATAAAAATAAAACCAATAAAAATGATTGCTACCAACCTGCCTTCCATTGAGGACCTGTATACTGCATGAGCCAGAAAGAGGGTTGTGAAAATATCTACAGAACTCTCATATCCCAGACATAAATTGTTTCAACTTCTGCCCTCAAAATGACACTATAGGGCATTGGACACCAGAACAACTAGACAGTGTCTGGATTCCGGCAGTGGAAGCCCTTAGGACCCCACGAAAACTATCAACCAAACAAGTCCGCTGGGCTCAATATTTCAACTGATTTGACTTCGTGCTAAAACACATCCCAGGGGAGAGGAACTTTCTGGCTGACGCCCTCTCCCACATGACCCAGTACAAATGTGAAGGGGAGGAGGTTGTAAATGCCATCATCCCCCCCTACCCAAATAGCTGCCCAAGTAACCACCAGACGACAACACCATGATCGGCAAGACCAACCTGCAGACGACCTAACTACGAAACTCTAAACCAAACTGAACTGCTTTCTGTTGGCAACTATAAAACGGGCAAAGAAATGTTTTATGAGTTGACAGACATCCCCCCACCCCCCCAATACCATCATTCTGCTAAACAACTACTGGTAATTCTCACAACACTGTCAAAACTATCTAGTAAGGCTACATTACTGTTATTCTCATCATCTTTCCTATTACCTATCTCCTTATCTTTTTATGACTAGAACTTTGTTGCTTATATCTTACAATTTATATTGTTTATTTAGTATCCTAGTATGATTTATGTTGATTGCTTATTTAGTATCCTATGACTATCACTAAGTGTTTCTTATGGTTGTGATGTATATATTTTTATGATGACTATGATTATGATTTATCACTTATTGCTTGTATGTACACTTATAGCTTGTGTACCAGAGACAAATTCCTTGTGTGTCCAATCACACTTGGCCAATAAAGAATTCTGTTCCATTCTGTGCCATTCCATTCTTTACTCAAAGGAAAATCTCCTTGTGTTACATGAAGCTTATACTGAGGTACATAAATGAGAAATTGTAGCCTTCATTCATCTGTGGCTCTTTGAAAGGGATTACATTGTCCTGACAATGAAACCCACTGAACTCAAAAGAACATTTACAGGACAGGCCTGTGAAGAAGGAAAGGAAGCGCAATAACCACATAAAAACATCACAAGAGAGGCTTCATTTTAAAGCCACATAAAATGACAATGATTTATTTGATTAATTTGTACAAACAACCATCTAAAAACAACTGCTGTAAGGAAATAAAAAGTCCCCAAACATTTATTTGTTTCACTAGCAGTTGTTAATAAATATTTTATTAAATAAAGAAACAACATGTTTTCAAATGAGAGATGATTTTTTTTGTCGGTTGCTTGGTTGTTTTTGTTTTTCCCAAATGTGACTGAGAAAAGAAATACAGAGGCTGAAATAAATAATTTTTTTTTCGCTTTTGTGAAAACTATTTACAAAAACATGTACAAAGAATGGATCTTAAACAGAAAGTAACCAAAAAAAGGTCATTTATTTATAAAGGTTGGGAAGGGAAATGACCCTTGGAATATTATTCCCCTAATACACATAAAGAGGCTGAACTGATTCATGAAGGTTTTCTTCCAGAATATTTACCAACATAATCTGGAAAAGAAGACACTACAGACCACCCATATATTGTATACATACTCATTCATAAGGCAGTCTCCCCTAAGCTGGCGTCCTCTGTATAAACTAGGACTACAATGCTCAGAATTCACAAAATGGCCAGGAATCCTGCTTTTGTTGTCCAAACACAGCCTGAAGGTAAGAAGACTCAGGAAGAAGACATTTTCTTTTATCTAGTATAGCATTTAAAAAAGAGTTCCCTGAATGAGGTTCATCAGACCCTAGAACAGGGCTGTCAAACTTATGGCCCATGGGCCAGACGCATCACATACCTTAAGATTGACACCCCTGTCCTAGAAAGACATATGAAGGTAGTGTAAGCATCTATATAAAAATATGCTAGGACTCTGACCTCCTGACTTCATCAGCAGGTGAAGGGAAGTTAATCTGATCCAAAAATATACTGACTGAGAGAAAAGGTAAGGATTAGAATCAGGTCTAATTTGAGGGATGCTTGAAAACCACTCTGGTCTCTTCCGTTTCCCATTGGGATCTACCTCCACAATCATTCTACCTATATGAAACAAGCTGGTTTCATACAGTAGGACTTTGGGTCTTTTCCACCTAACAACCAGTCTAAAACATTTCCAAGCATGAGTTCATAGATAGCAAGACAACGAGAATCAAATTACTTAGGCACTGTGTGATACTGTGCTTTCTGTGTTCTATTGCGGCAAATTAACTTCATTAGACAGCCTGATTAGCGGTAAGAAGGGAAGAAACATCTCTCTCATATTCAGGGAGACCAGAAAAAAAAATACAGTTAGTCCTCAACAGCTCACTTAGCAACCACTGGAAGTTATGACAGATCCCAAAAAGCTATGGTGGCTGGAGAATTCTGGGAGTTGAAGTCCACACATCTTCAAGTTGCCAAGATTGATAATCACTGGTAAAAGGCATACACAGGTTTGTTGGTTTCTATTCCATCATAATTTTATGAGATTTTAAACCAGGTAAAGACCCACAAAAATGTAGACACCAAGATTTTAACTACCCTACTGGGTAGATACTTGCAAAAGATTTATAATTCATCCTTCCAGTTGGGATTTATCCATAATTTTCAGACATCAAATAATTTGAATACATTAAGTGACATACTACATATAAAATCCCATGGATAAAATGGAATTCTTCTGCATTAGTATCTTTAGATGCAGAAAAAGCCTTTGGATTATTTTTTTTAAATCAAGTGATGATTAGATATGGCTTTCCATGGGACTCTGTCCAGTGACTGAGTTATTATCTGCAACCTTGTACCAGAGTTCTAACAATATAAAGTCACTTTTCAGCCACAACATCTTTTTTTGAATTAGGACCTTCACCCAGTATTACATGTAGTTTTAGCTGATGGCATATTACACTTGCTGCTTGAAATTCAATACTTTTGTGACCTCAGCTCCTTTAGTCTTCCTATATATCTTTTCCTATGAAACTTTCCTGAATGGTCAAAATTCTTTTTGAGACAACATGCAACCCAACTGAAAGTCAGGGACATCCTCAAGCTAATTGAAAGAGCAATAACATTCTCCCCATTTTGGAAACAATTCTACTTGATAGAACCTGAATTATTTACGATGGTATCAAGTTATTAGTTAATGTTAGTTCCCCATAACGGTCTTCTCTATCTTTATCCTTGTACTTTTCTCCCAACATCTCTATCCAGTGAATAATTTTGTGTGCACAATCTATGCAGAAATAGGTAACACATGGATCTACAGATGTTGAATTCCAGCTTCTGAGCCACAATGATTAATAATGAAAATGCTTACCACTGTTTAACAGAGTTGCAATTCCATGTCATTGACAAGCTGTCTACCTCTTCATCCAGATTAGTCTGACCAACATGGCTTCAAAAATGGTAGCCTTTTAATTCAAAGGCAATTATTGTATTGACTTTTTATACCTTTCTGCTCCCTCCCAGATTAGAAGAAGATTTAAATTAGCATTGCCAAAACAGAAACGGGAGAAGGCACTTTTCAGAAACAAAATATCTCTATATTGGCTGAATGCATTGTTCCTGCACTTTTAAGAAATTCATTCTTCCGAGTAGTTAAGACTTTTCTCTTGCCTATCAAGTTGGATTAAAGCATAGGAAAAGAACAAATCTTGCCCCCAAAAGTGATTAAACAATTATTAGAGTAAATCTGCATGTTTGCTACTGTGACTTGGGAAATAAGATTGGCAAATTTTATTGTCCGTATTCTAGTGAATGCTATTGTCAGAATTTCTCAAACAGCAGAAGCTTAATTGTGCAATTCCATGAATTACACTAAACACAGCCAACTGCAGCTCAAATCTGTATGCCATTTATCTTGCTGTCTCTGTGCTTGTATATGGAACACTATGTATGGCCATACAAGGATATTATGTACAGCCCTGATTCTTGGATTTATAATGCTGCCTGCTTGTTTTGAATAGGAAACAGGAGATCCAGCTGAAAAAAGTACAGTATATACATAATGTTCAGTGTCTGGAATCACTGCAAAAGTTTTATAGCTGCCTTGGCAGGGAACATCTCAAACATGTAAGGCCATGGAATTTTTGTTTTAAAAATAAGTCAAAATTCACATCTTCCTTGTAATGTGGTCGAGATAGCCAGTGGATTCAGATAAATTCATTCATACATTTTAATTCATGTGGTGCATTTCTTTAGGAAGGAAATCTATAAACCTGTCCATGGATATGTTCCTCATTCATATACATCTCAAATAGCTTTCTTGTTAAAAAAGAAAAGAAAAGTAAGAAATAAAAGAGGTCTGTTTCCCTGACAAGGCACTTGCAGAGAAAAAAAAATCTGCTCCTAGAATTCATCCTTATTTTCCTTCAAGATGCTCCTGTGCAATCTAAAGCCAACTTTGCTCAAAGCAGCATTTGCATCTCAAAAATAATTCCTGAACCTTTGGCCCATTTCGAAATTTTCTTCCTACGATAGCTTTCTTTTCTTTTCTTTTTTCCTCTTTTTTTCTTTTTTAAAAAAACCTCTCTTTTTTATAAAAACAATTCAGTCTGCACATTTTGAAATCCCGATATAGCTTTTCTGACTAGGCTGTTAATGGCAGCCACAGGCTCGGACCACCATGTTTCTGTATTTCTTCAAAATGACGTTGGAGCTGTCGTCGAAGTAGAGAACAGAAATGGCGTTGAGTTGTGTTGGGGCACAGCAAGGCTTCGGCACGGTATCGGGGTTTATAAAGTGAACCTGGAGGCAAATAAAGTTACGAGACATCAGGATGTTTACAAGAACTTAAGCTGAATATTAAATACAAATACAACACAACAGCACATCAGCTGGGCTACCAGAGAGACTGTAGGAATCCAGAAAACCATTAGATGGCAGGAAAGACACTGAAAACGATTCACACCTAGTGGTCATTTGAGTTTTGCAGCCTGAAATGTGGTTTTCCAGAAAAGGACTATGGTTCTTTTCCCTCCATAACTGTTTCCCTGTTTCTACCACTTATACTTGAAAGACCTGCTTTTCTACAAATTTGGTGATCCCTGTGCAAGAATTAACAAGGCATTTTTGAACTTTGCATTGAGCAAGCTCTGTGGGTACTAGACACTGAAAGGAACAGGGTTTTTCAACAAAGTTACCACCTAGTTCTATCAGAACTGGAGCCAGGAGATCTGACACTTTGACTTCTGTGCTGAGAAGACTATGATTACCGGGCTTAGAAGAAACAGGTCTTGCAGATCAACCAGAGTTGTTACATAAGGCAGTCATAAAAGGGCAGTGAGTAAGAAGGGTGAGGATAAAAGGCTTTCTGGGTAAATGTTTAGGGATAATATTATTTGCAATATATGTGTATATTTGTGGGTATTGTGGGTATGTGGTCTATGCACACAACTCACACCCCACTATCATTAATGCAATTCCTACAGCTATAGAAAACACTTGCCTCTGTGAATTTGTGACTGTTCTTTACATATTCTTCCTAGTCTTGGGAACTGGTGATATGAAGAAATTATTTATATGAATACAATAATCATCCTCTTCCACATTTTCCTCCTTTCTCTCCTCCTCTCTTTTGTGGGGAAAGCTTTCCTTGGATCATTTCATAGGCAGGAGATACAGCACTGGGTTTTCTCAAATATCTGAATTATTTTCCTAGTACTTTTCAAATTCTCATTCTTAGTGAAAATATAGTTAAAAAGGTAAAATAATTCACTTTTCACATTTTTATAGTGATTTATAAATACATATAGACACATGTGAATTGGTTGAGCTTCACATTCTCCCACCCTGTCAATGTTTCCTCCCATTATTCAACTAGAAGATCCAGTTTTGGCACCTATTATTACCAACACTTGATTTCCTCTGATTGCATGGCAACTTTGGGTGTTGCCCAAAGAAGGCAGGTTACCACTATCAAAGTAGCTGAACTGGCTATTCCTGAACTGTCAATGTAGCTGCAAGTTCTTTACTCATAGTGTCAATTGATAATTAGATCTAGTTTATAATCTTGGGGTAACTCAATATCCTCTTCCATGCATGGAATTTTAGCTCCTGATAATCTGTGATGATGGAAAAGATTGCTCAAATTTTTCTTATGTCAAGTTTTTTGAGGAAATATTAGAAGTATATTGCTATGAGAAAAATGTGTTTAGTAGATATATTTGCTTAGCATGAATAAAAGCAGTAATCATATTAACAGGGCAAGAGGAGGAGAGGACAAAGACTGCCATCCTACCTAAAAATGGCAAATTGTGGATACATGATTTAAACTTGATGATGTTACCTAGTTTGGTAATGAAAAGTCTGCAAGCAAACACCAAGCTCAGAGAGCGCCAAAAACTCCACAGAGTTCACCAAATACCATCCACCCTGGTATCAGACAAATTACCAAACTGAAGATATAAGAAATGCTAATGTGTAGTTAATGATTATTTTACTTTCCTGAAATTCATATAGTTCGCCTCTCTTGTAATTTCTCTTTTCATCGAATGACACAGATCAGGCTACAGAATTGTTGCGAAAGACTTTTAAGATAAACTTACCAGTGTCTGTACAATAGCATGATTTGTTGCATTCATGTAAGAGTTCAGTGGAAAAGCACATTCCCCTTCGCAGTAATAAGCAGCATAACCTTCTGGAGCGATGATCCAGTCCTGGGTTAGGTGAGGCAGAGAGATGGAGAGGACTTAATGTGCTAAACAACATCATTTCTACACCCCACCCCCCCCCAAAAATATTGAAATTCGTCTGTATACATATAGGGCATTCACTTAAATGGGGATTTGAAACTGAATTGGTTAGATAATTTTGTTTTTATTTCAATTTATCTCTGTAGATTGATTCCCTCCTCCCCCCCGTGTTTCTCTTTTACAAGTTGCAATAAAAGAACTATGATAAAAAGGGTGGGGGTTAGGGGAAGTTTACTTTAGCTTAAAACATGCTTAGGGATTATCAAGGCCTAAATTAATGTCTCTGGTCTGTGCTATCATTTAAAGATCAAAGAGAAGGTTAGCAAAGCTTAACCTTCATTTCCTGCCACAGGCACATTAATTTATCCCTAGACCCAGTACAAGAGTATCAACCCCAATGGGGTTGCTGTGGATTTTTTTTTTTTATTTCCCCGAAAGCAGTGTTTCTCAATCGCTGTAACTTTAATTGCTTCCCCTAATGCTGAACGGGGAATTCTGGAAGTTGAAGTCCACACCAAGTTGCTGAGGTAGAGAAACATTGGATTGGAATGACTTTTTTATTTTTGGTGTGGGTTTTTTTGGGTTAAGCTATTATTAGATTTGTATCCACTCCTTATAGTGGTTAAAATAGCAGGCTAGGAACTGCGAGACTGTGAGTTCTAGTTCCATCTTAGGCATGAGAGCCACCTGGTTGACTTTGAGACAATCCCTTTCTCTCTGCCCTACCAACTAAAGATGGCTTTAAAATTACTGATTGTTTTAGTTTATAAATAAATTAAAAATTCTGGCATAATTCAGGAAGAGAACCTTCTCTGACATCACTTCTGTCCTTTAGAATATTCTACTCCCACCCCACCCCCCAGAAAAACAAGCTAGGCCCCCCTGGCGTGGCATTTCAGAAGAAATCTCTGTCAACTGAGGTTCGCAGAGGAACACACAACTTTGGTATTGTTCAAAGAAAACCAACTGAGAATTTCCATAGACACACAGCTTTGATGTTGATTGAAGGCCCTTCCTCTAGCTTTTAACTTTAATTATTTTATTCCCATTTAAATTGCCCCCTATTGGAATATAGCACACATGTTTTGTATGCTATAATTGTACACGGCTCAGAGTGGCTCTGTGAGATAAATAGATAAATAAATTAGTGGAACTGATCTATTACCATGTTTCCCTGAAAATAAGACCTAGTCTTATTTTCTTTTGGGCCCCAAAATAAGCACTAGGGCATATTTTTTGGGGGGTGTTATCTCCCCCCTCATGTATGGGAGGCCCACTTCTTCTGCTTGCTCTGGGGGGGGGGGGCAGGAGGCCAAACGACGCAGCAGTGCAGCTGCCATGAGTCAGGGAGTGGAGCTGCCCCATGTGCCCTGCATTGGCTTACTTCAGGGCCATCGCAGCCAAGTCACCCACGCCCCAACACCTGCCTTGGCTTGTACCAGCTCACCACTCAGCTTCCTGCTCTGTTGTGGCCACGAGCAAGCAGAAGAACTGGGCTGGTGGCCATGGTTGCTGGTGCTGCCGCCGTGAGGCAGGTGTCAGGGTGTGGGTGGCCTGGCTGCAGAGGCCCTGCAGTAAGCCAGTGCAGGACACGTGATGCAACTCCACCACCACCCTGATTCACCTTGTGGCCGCGGTACAGCAAACAACCAGACAAAATGGACAGGTGGCTGGACAGTTGCGCAGGCTCTTAAGTAGGGCTTATTTTTTGGGGGGGGAGTAGGGCTTACACATGTAAAAGACGTGCTAGGGCTTATTTTGGGGGAGACAGGGTATAAGGAAAGAATGTTTGCCCTGGAATTATTTGCAAGTAACATGTAGACCTGCATGATCTTAACCTGCCAAAACAAGTTTGGCTTTTGCTGTCCTACAAGCGGACATAATAGGAAAAGGAATTTCCTCACGTTACACACTTGAGAATAAATAGGCTTAAAGCACAATGGGGATCTCTAATTCCAAGCAAAAAAAAAAGTAGCATTACCTGCCAGCCAAGATCCCTGAAACTGACATAGAGTTCATGTTTCTTGCAAGCTTGCCTCTGATCATTGCTGCTGTTTTCTGAGTTGGAGAGCATTGGGCAGAAAAAGAAGCAAAGCAAAGTTAGACCAACTGCCTCACAGCAATCAGTCTGGCAGTGGTATTAATAATGTATGCATTAGGGCACTAGCAAAGGGAATGTAGTTACATTCATACATGACTTTTAGAAATATTTTTTTCTAAAATAATGACAATATCTATAAACAGTGTAATAAAATTCCATGAAACCTTAGAAGGATTTATGTATCTCTCAGCCCTCCCCCCCTCCTCCGTTACTGTTGTGGGGAAAGTAGGAGGAGGAAGGAGTATTAGGTATGTTCACCATCTTGAGTTATTTACAAAAATAATAAATGCGGAATATAAATAAATAAAGCGATAAAAAGGATGCAAAAAATTAATCCATAAAAGCTATATATTAATGGTTCTTTAATATTCTTTCAACACATTAATGTATTGATCTGAATTCTATAAACATTTCAACAACAGGTGTAGTAGAAAGGTGAAAAGAGTTTGAAGAAAATTTGAGAAAGCATAGAATCTCTACACTGCAGCACAGGCGCATTTCCTAATAATTCCAATAACTTCTTTCCTTTCTTCCCTCCCTCCCTTCTCCCACCCCTTCCTCCCTCTTTTCCTTTCTTCCTTCCTTCTTTCGTTCCGCCCTCTTCCCTTTCTTCCCAAGCACAAAATTGTGGTGATGACCAAACATAAAACTGCCGTACACTGGAAACCAAGACTGGTAAGGTTCCTTCATGGAAGTGTGACTGGGTACATATTCTGTAGCTTTCTCTGCATAATACAGACATTGTCTATATTAGGGGCCTTCAACCTTGGCAACTTGAAGACATGTGGACGTCAACTCCCAGAATTCCTCAGTCAGCCATGTTGGTTGGGGAATTCTGGGAGTTGAAGTCCACAAACCTTACAGTTGTTAAGGATGGAGACCCCTGGTGTATATTATTGTTGCAATACTGTGTGACAATAAAAATTCAGCCCCTTGGTCTACTTTTCCAAGTCTCATACCTGAGGAGCCCAGGATATAGTCCTTAGCTGTAAGAAAGTGACCTCCAGATGAAACATTTGGAGCAAGATACTTTTTCTTTTCTAGAGTGAACACTCAAAGCAACATCCCTATTTTGTCCTGAATTCAAAGGGTTATTTTGTTTCAGATCTAGAAAGCTCAAAATGGCTGTTCAGACCTAAGAATCTTTTACACGCTCCAACTCTGCAATGAAGTTCATTGTGTTTGATAACTAGCTGGTTGCAGAGAAACATTTTTGCAGGCTTCTCAACATCTAAGCATGTTCACAGCAGAGAAAATAATGCTCAGATTTCATTTCTTCCCAGCTAAGACAAAAACAATTTAGGGAGGAAACAAAAGTACCAGAAACAACTTTATTTTCTTAACTTAATCCCCAAGATTAATTTTATGGAAATCACAAACCTAATGTTTGCGTACCTCCAAGATTTGACACTCGAAAGGCTTCTTGATTTTTAGGTGCCTTTGAACGGTTTTGGTTCCGCTGTTTGCCTCCTGTAGAACGGATGCTTCGGAAACGTAATTCAGTAGCTTTGAAAAAGACCACCGTAAATGGCTGCTTGTTTTGTGGACCATGCCTTCCAATGAGACCAGCGAACTTGGGATTAATGCTTTGCCCTAAGTGGAAAGAGAAAGAAGAGGAGAGTGGCAAATTAGTTTTGCAGGTGAATGTTGCCTATTTTCCAGTTATGGTAGTAATAATGGGAGCCTCCAATGTTCAGGAAGATAGAACATGCATGGTTGATACAGCTAACTCTGCCCACGGCCAGGAATTCGATCCTGATGGGGACCAAGGTTGACTCAGCCTTCCATCCTTCCAAGGTTGGTAAAATGAGGACCCAGATTGTTGGGGGCAATATGCTGACATTGTAAACCACTGAGAGTGTGCTGCAAAGCACTCTGGAATGGTATATAAGTTTAAGTGCTATTGCTATTAAACATGGAAATTAATGCAAGATTTCATACAAAAAATGGCTCAATTAAAAAAAATCATTTTCCATTTTGAAATTTGCCATTCCTGAAGCAATTACCTCTATTGAAAGCTATGTTATTCCAGGCCAACTTCAATTTTAATTTCTCCGATTCTTTGGTTTTAAAAACAAAACAATGTGGTGGGGGAAGTTTCTTGAGTTCAACCAATTATAATTTAATGTGCTCCTGTTTTTTTTAAAAAAGAGACATAAAACTAAGTCCAACAGAACACTACATTCTCCTGGAAAAGCTATTAGTTGAAAATAAAAATGTCCTAAAATAAAAGCTGGTGTGTTTCCAGAAAACATCCATTTGAGAGGTGGATAGAAACAGCCTTTTCTTATTAAAAGACATCAAAATAATTTTTTTAGTCTTATGTAAACAAAGATGATTTTGAGGACTACTACAACAGTCTTCACATGGGGCTACTTTGAAGGCTACTTTAATGCTGCAGTTGGCTCAGAATATAGTGGTCCATTTGCTGGTTAGTGCACCTACATTAATGGCCATGACACGTGTTACAAATATGTTTCTGGGTACATTTCACACTGCATGTTTCATCCTATGAAGCCCTTGGGGCTCAGCTCCAAGTATTAGTGGGATCTGTCCAATATGAGTATCCCAGAAGAGGCTGCTAATGGTTGTCCATTTTTGAGGAGTAAAGTTGAGGCCTGAAGATCTGTGATGGATCCTGATCATGGAACAACCTCAGCTTGGAAGCTAGATTAGACCCCTGTCTAGTAGCCTTCCAGAGATTGGTGAAAGTGGAGTGTATTGAGGGACTTAGGATTTATTAAAAATCCGACAGGTCTCTTAAGTCTATCTTAATGGTCAGGGAAATGGATGTCAGACAGGATACACGAATGCTCTACATGTTTTAGAGATCTAGCCCCCAAGTTAGTAGTGTGAGGAATCCTATCAGCACTTTATGAGACACTTCCAAAATCCCACCATCATTTAACTGATCAGGATAGAGGACCAGAAAACCATCTGATTTTTCAGAGGAAATTTATTCATACCAGTTCCAAATAATAACAGCATCCAATGGTTTTCTCTAAGGCATGCTGTGATCACCAGAAATATGGCAATTGTTTAGCTCCCTATCATACTCATTTAGTCAATAATGCTTATAATATCAGTAATATTTAATCTGTTAAGTTGTTCAGTAATGCTGGGCCAAATCGTTCATTTTGAAATACTGCAAGTAAAGATTTGGAAACATTTGACAGAGGATTTAGCAGCCACTGTTTTTCTTTCTTAAACAGCATTTTATAGATAATTTAAGAAATAGATTTAATTTAATTTAATAAATCTTTTCAGTCAGTGGTCCACAATCTTTGCAGCTTGGTGGCTTAGCTATGGGGGAGAGCGGGGAACTGGGCCACACAAGCAGTGGGATGACGCACTTGCCTGCACACTGACTCACCATTCATGTGAGTGTAGCTGCATGTGTGCATGTGCACCACTCCAGGTCTCATGCAGCCCGATTCCAATAAGCCACGGCCCGGTAGTGGGCTGTGGCCCAGGGGTTGGGGAGCCCTGTTTTAAGTAAAAAAAAAAACCTCTTATTCCTATCAGTAATAACTCCCTATCTTAGGTTCTAATCTCATTATAGTGGAAGCTCCTTCGCAGTCACTCTGATGGGTTCTCATGAAGACTTTAGAGAAGATAGTTGTATTAAGTTTAAAGCAATACTCTTCATTCAGATGAAAAGATGCAAATATGCTTTAGACTAGCTATAGCTTCTGAGTCTATATTCATTGAACATTTCCTTAGCTATGGTGGCTGATAAACTGTGCGGGATTTACTGCCAAGCATGTATGTCTAGAATCAAGCTGCATAAGAGTTTTCTTCAAATCGCCACAGTAATGAGACAAACAGGATATGAACCAGTATGTAAGAAATCAAGTTAATTTTACAGAGTCAGCTATTGCTCCAATATAATGTCAGGAAGGAAAGCAGATAACAGAATACCCGAGGCTAATGGATTGCTTTAGCCTTTCTTGCATTGCTTCATTTAACCAAACTTTCTCAGAATAAACAAAAACTCACTAAAATTCCCTCTTTCTTTCTTTCTTTCTTTCTTTCTTTCTTTCTTTCTTTCTTTCTTTCTTTCTTTCTTT